TCACAGTCACAGTCATGGGCGGCAAGGGGAAACAGAGATACCTAGTCAGCGGTGCCGTCACCGAAAGGAGAGGTGCATGAAACAAAAGCTATGCGAGGTGTGAGGAGCACTGGAGCAGATCAGGCGCCAGGGGTCAAACCAAATACCGAACCGAAGAAGAGTGTAATTGTGTGATATGAGGAAAACGAACGGGGACGAGATAAGGACGATTCGATGTAGGATGATGAGGGCGTGTGTGTGTGTGTGTGTGCGTGCAGTACGGGCCGACATATGTATACTGAGCGGATGCAAAATTCGAACGAAATGGTCAAAACTGTCTAAATGCAGCTAGTATCATTATCATTGTCGCGGCACGCGCAGCGCTGGCGAGCGCCGAGCCATACTACCAAGGTCCATTGGATCATTATTGTTTTTGGTAATGGGTATTTGGGCTAGGAGCTAAAGGAGCATTGAGATCTGGAGGTAGGGTAGCGTAGCGGACCTCTGATACTTTACAAATAAATGGTTAGTAAAAAATGAAGTGAATGCGATAAGCGCATATATTTTGAATAAAAATTAATCTGATAAAGTAACTTTAGTAAATAGACGAGAATAGAGACCTGGTATTTTCATGGTTTGTGTGGTTAAATTAATTTGTTTTGTTGTGGGAGGGGAAGGGGGAGGGGAGAAGATTAAGCACATGGAATGCTTTTCGGTAATTCTATGTATACAGAACACATGGTAATAATATAATTTGCGGACAGAACTGCTACGGTACTTAACGCTGATGCTGTTATTTCAATCGAATTCGAAACGAAGAAAAAAATTAGAGGAAGAGGAATTCTTGACAACAATATGAAAATTCTGCAATTATTTGTTAAACATGGTAAAAATCTTTTTTCAACATTAAAAAATAACATTTCGATCGAAACGGCTTTCAAAACAAACGTTCCGATCGGGCATTCCGATCGAGCACTTCGATCGAGCATTTCGATCGAACATTTCGATCGAGCAGTTCGATCGAGCAGTTCGATCGAGCAGTTTCGATCGAAACAGGTCTTCGAACGATCATCGAAATAATCGATCGATCGATCGATCGGTTCGGGGACAGGCCTACATCCATTAAGTTTAAATAGTTGCATCAAGTCCCCGTCACCGCCGACTAACGCGTCCGTCGATCGAATCAACTACAGGTAGTGTGAGCCGGGAGTCAAAACGCCTTCAATTTTTTGAACGCAATACGGACATCCGTCGAGGTTGTATAGTTTGATCAAGGCGCCGTACCAAGCGCGTCCCATTGTTTATTGATACAGACATGTTTGCAGTCATGAATGCGCTTAAGTGCGCTTCAGCTAAAATTGTATTTATCAAATGGTCGGTTTTTATAGGAGGATTATAATGAAACAAGTGGTTGGAAATGGAAACAAAACAATATGAACTATGCAAAACGATTATTCCGACAACGGAACTTGGCTGTTTTGAAAACGCCTTCAAATGCGGCGTGATACCTCACACATTCCGGAGAGTTCAAATAGTTGTATCATTGCGCCTTAGAAATGCGACGGAAGATTACAATTGAAATAGCCTTCACGCAGGCTCGCCACATCCCATCTCGAGCCCTGGTGCCAGTTTTAAGTTCCGGGCCCCAAGCACGGAGGGGGGGGGGGG